AAGAAATCAGTCACATAGCTACACAGCAGAAGCTTGTGCTGGTTTCTGAAGCAACTAAGATTATTCCTACTACCCCTGCATGGTATCCATTTATACACCTGGGTATTGACAGACAAAAATGCAATAAGTACTTAACCCATTCACCTCTTAACCACCCATGCATAGCCAACCGTAGCCGCCCATTTAGAGCTAAGTCCCTTGAACCACATGTGACGTCATCAGTTTTAACAGTCAAGGACAACTTATAGCGCTGACACGCAAAACTCAGAGGAAAATCTTCTTCCCCTTAATTCCATGTAATACTAAGATCCTAAAACTTTTCCCACCAAAATGAAACCTAGTAAATTCCCAACAGAAAACAGGGCAAGAAAACTAATTAAAATGAAAACAAATTTTTTTTTTTTTTTTCAATGCATGCCCCAACTTTGGAAAACTGATGAGAACTTGGGAACTAGACAGTGGCTAGGCTCAAACCCTGAATCTACGGTGCACATACATGTTGACTAGAACACTGCCATGTGTCCAATCATGCTAGTATAACACCACTACAGAAATACAGGGCTTATAGCAAGAGAGTAGTCTGAAAACACCAAACCTATGTAGTAGACAGTTCAGTCCCCAGTTTACATGTGATAAAAATAATCAACAACAATCTTCATATTCAAAGGCAATTATGCAGTCACCATCTCAGACAGCAGCAAGTGAAAGTCAGTAAGTATTACCCTCAAATATCACAAAGACAAATAAACTTTGAATGGTCAACCTACAAAGGTCAGGTAACATGGGGGTCTCATTTCCAGTAGGAGACATAAAAATAGTATCCTCATTTAGTACTTTTGTGCAAAAAAAATTGACACTCAAATAAAGAGTGTTCTTTTTTAGATCTGCAGGTCAGGCTTCACACCTTGCTGTCGGAACAGCTGGTGGTAACCCTAAAGTAAGCAAGCATTAATTTCTATCCAAAGGGGAGTGGCAATGCAGAAACAGGGGTATAACCTTTGGTCAAGTGGGCCTCCTTGTCTGATGTGTGCCTCTAATTTACCTTCCCTATAATATTGATTACACCACTATAGCTATAGGGTGATTATCTTTTTACAAAGCAGCAACAACTAAATTATTCTGGCAATAAACGATTCTTATAATTATTATGCATAAAATTATGTCAAAAGAGCTTACCAATACTGTGAAATTGCCATCTTCTGTGAATCAGATCAGGAAGATAAAGCAGTATTTTCTGTTTGTAGATGAACGAAAACAAATNAAACCTATGTAGTAGACAGTTCAGTCCCCAGTTTACATGTGATAAAAATAATCAACAACAATCTTCATATTCAAAGGCAATTATGCAGTCACCATCTCAGACAGCAGCAAGTGAAAGTCAGTAAGTATTACCCTCAAATATCACAAAGACAAATAAACTTTGAATGGTCAACCTACAAAGGTCAGGTAACATGGGGGTCTCATTTCCAGTAGGAGACATAAAAATAGTATCCTCATTTAGTACTTTTGTGCAAAAAAAATTGACACTCAAATAAAGAGTGTTCTTTTTTAGATCTGCAGGTCAGGCTTCACACCTTGCTGTCGGAACAGCTGGTGGTAACCTTAAAGTAAGCAAGCATTAATTTCTATCCAAAGGGGAGTGGCAATGCAGAAACAGGGGTATAACCTTTGGTCAAGTGGGCCTCCTTGTCTGATGTGTGCCTCTAATTTACCTTCCCTATAATATTGATTACACCACTATAGCTATAGGGTGATTATCTTTTTACAAAGCAGCAACAACTAAATTATTCTGGCAATAAACGATTCTTATAATTATTATGCATAAAATTATGTCAAAAGAGCTTACCAATACTGTGAAATTGCCATCTTCTGTGAATCAGATCAGGAAGATAAAGCAGTATTTTCTGTTTGTAGATGAACGAAAACAAATCGTTATATTTTGGACTGTTTATGTACAATCCTACTTCACATGTTATATTAACTTGAACAGAACATGAGCAATAATTAGCAGTTTGTCTTGAATATAAATTTTAATTTTTTTGTAAAAAAAAACAATGTTAAACAAAGTAAAAAAGATATTGCTTTTTACCTCTAACATAATAAGAATTGAGTCGAGGTCTTCCCTTTGTGACTTATGACCTGAAAAAACAATAAATATTGTACGTTAGCACCGATCAACCAGCTATTTTCCGCGATATTGTTTATTGAAAATACTCAGCCATTTGAATAAACTCATAATGCAGAAGTTTAAATGTACTTCCTAGATGAACAGACAATCGTATCTTCAAAAAACGTTAGAAGGACAATAATCTAACTGAATTTCTACCGCAGGTTGTTCTAGTGTGTCAATATCCAAATGGCTGCAAAGCGATGTAAATATTTCAAAGGACCAACCTCTTGTTTTGAGATTTGCCTCCACCATGGAGAAAACATCGTGAAATACGTAAAATATTTCGGAATAGTAAGTGTTGAAAAATTTCTTGGAGTCGGAAGCATCAAGGTAATCTGAAAGGCAAGGTGTACAGGCAAATCAAACAAATCCCTTGGAGCATAATTCGTGTGTAGTTTTTTTATATTTCAAGAGTTTGCAGAGCTGGTGCAAGGAAACACATACCGAGCAAAGATCGAAGAGCGCGTAGCCTAGCATGGCTCTCCTTTTTAAGGTCTAGGAATTTTTGCGAAGTCTTCTTGATGTCCGTATGGCCTCTCCTGTTATGGAACATATTTGTGTCCCACACATCGAGATGAAATTGGAGAAAGTATCGCATATAATCTCTCGAGATTCATTCATGACGCGGCAGCCATGTTCCACCTCCAGATGGATGCTACTTTGCGCATGTGTCAAATTGTCAAAATATTTACCATCAGGGACTGGGGCGGGGATTTCATAAGGAAGTTCACAACTTGGCCTGTACTTTCTCAGTCCTTCGCAGTGAAAACACAAAAAAAATCGGAGTCACGCCTTGCACTTGAGAAAAATTTTGACCTCCACTTGTGGACAAGTCTGAACTTTGTAATTTGGCCAATTTTACAGCATTTATTGATCTTTATCTCTCTAAGAGGAAAAGGTCTCCATCCTACATGGTCCCTCTCGAATAAGTGCCCCGTCCCCTCCGGCTCACTTTTTTTGTATGGTAAGAGATACAAGGGGAATGCGAAGATCTGCACATCATTGACAAGGATGATCTGGAGGAATGATGAGATAATCGATATTTTATAAACATCCATACCAATACATCTGTGTTAAGTGTTTAGAGGGACTACGGTANTCCGTATGGCCTCTCCTGTTATGGAACATATTTGTGTCCCACACATCGAGATGAAATTGGAGAAAGTATCGCATATAATCTCTCGAGATTCATTCATGACGCGGCAGCCATGTTCCACCTCCAGATGGATGCTACTTTGCGCATGTGTCAAATTGTCAAAATATTTACCATCAGGGACTGGGGCGGGGATTTCATAAGGAAGTTCACAACTTGGCCTGTACTTTCTCAGTCCTTCGCAGTGAAAACACAAAAAAAATCGGAGTCACGCCTTGCACTTGAGAAAAATTTTGACCTCCACTTGTGGACAAGTCTGAACTTTGTAATTTGGCCAATTTTACAGCATTTATTGATCTTTATCTCTCTAAGAGGAAAAGGTCTCCATCCTACATGGTCCCTCTCGAATAAGTGCCCCGTCCCCTCCGGCTCACTTTTTTTGTATGGTAAGAGATACAAGGGGAATGCGAAGATCTGCACATCATTGACAAGGATGATCTGGAGGAATGATGAGATAATCGATATTTTATAAACATCCATACCAATACATCTGTGTTAAGTGTTTAGAGGGACTACGGTATACTTGCTGTTTTAACAAACGAAAGACTCTTAATATTAACTTTACGTTAAAAAGTTGCAATTCGCAACAGTAGGAACAGTAGGGACGGAAGGAACAGAAGAACAGTAGGAACGGTACTCATAGAAGGAACAGAGGAACAATAGGAACGTAGGGACAGATGGGACATGTGAACAGTAGGAACTAGGAGCGTAGGGACGGAAGGAAAAAAGGAACAGAGGAACAGTAGAATCTGGTAATTTTAAGTCACTTTACATAAAAATAAGAGACAAACAAATTTGCTATAGGTTTTATCAAGATTCATAGTTTTTTGCGGCGATAAGATAAGAATTTTTGACGGTTGTTAACGTTTTGAACATTTGCCGGGCAACGAGAAAAAACTCTTAGAATTAATGGCATAAACTGCGAAACGGAAGCACCGTGACCCAATCTCTTTATTGCAGTTTTTTAATGTCCGGGATATGACTATTACCGTATTTATTCGAATAAGCGCCCAACCTCGAATTAGCGCCCACCTCGAACAAGCGCCCATCCTGAAGGCAGAAAAATTTAATAAGCGCCCTTTCCCTTAGCCGTGGGAGATCTGGGTACGAGATTAATAAGAGACTTGCCCGAAGACGGAGTTTTCTTTAGAGTATTTTACAGAAACCTTGCTTTGTTACATCTTCGCGTTTTATTATTACCATTTATTGTACTGTTGCAAAATTAACATACTACACTTGCTGAAAATAGTGAAAATTTTTATAAGCGCCCAGCCTCGAATAAGCGCCCACCTCGAATGAGTGCCCACATTCATGGTCCAAAAATTCAATAAGCGCTCAGGGCAGGGCGGTTAATCGAATAAAAACGGTAATTGTGCCAAGTTTGAAAAAATGTTGATAGTACAATCTTTTGAAGGGAATTACCTGTAAAGAAAGAAAAAAAAAACAATTAGAAAAGTTAATCAGACAAGCACTTGTTTAAGATTTGAATATAATCTTTCTCACTCCTCTACCCGTTGAGAACGAGATTGTAGAATCCCGCGATCATTTTGGTCTGCGGTCAAAATATTCAAAATCTCCCGCCATCTCTGCGCGCGCATTGTCCGCCATTTGCACGAGGTCTTCGAAGGTAATCTTCGAAGAGAAACTGATCGATATAGACGTTTTGAATTTAACAGTATGCCTGCAAGGAAACGCCAGCCGAGTAAACGAAAAGCAGAGGAGCCAGTGGAAGCAGCTATCGATAAGAAGAAAGAAAACCGAGGTGAGAGAATTCTTGCAGTTTAGTCGTTAATAGTTTGCCATAATTTCGATTCAAAGGGTGCATGCAGCTCTCAGCTTTGCAGATTTGTGCTCACTTGAAACATATATTGTAGTATGTTATTTGTTTTAACCAAAATTTTAATACACAGATGCACCGGTTTCTCGTGACAACAGAGATGCTGGGTATATCCTGACACTGGGGCAAGGAGATGTTGGCCAGCTGGGTCTAGGTGAAGACATTCTGGAACGAAAGAAGCCAGCCTTTGTGAAGGGACTTGATGGGCTGAAGGTTGTCCAAGTGGAATGTGGTGGAATGCATACTGTGGCCCTCACAAGTGATGGAAAGGTTAGGTTATACATGTTTCTGTATGGGGCTTATTACACAGAGGACCATTTGCAGTTCCTTAATAAATTACTGGGGAGGAGTTGGGGGGGAGTGAAACATACCTCCTTGTCTGGCCTAAACAGGGAGGTGCCGCTGAACAGGGTATGTTTTTCGGGGTCTTGAGTCTAATTAACAATTATTCCATAAGTGTACGTTGGATATGAGATGGTAGATAGCAGGGGTGTAGCTAGGGGGGGTCCTGGGGTGCCCGTGACCCCCCCTTGGTAGGCCTTCTTTTGAGCAAACAACTTATATCTTGGCCGTAAAAGCCATTGTTGAAAAGCCCACTTTTAAATTTGTTTTTTTGTAAAGTATTTTCGTCAACGGCTCTTGTCTTTAGTTAATATGGGCCTTCATGCTGCGATAATACGACTGAGCCCGCCGATACACGAGGGAAAGCATCGGTATAAACCATATATAGTCGACATGACAATCTGGTGAGTAGCCTCTGTGACCCCCCCTTTGAAAAATCCTGGCTACGCCCCTGGATAGCCAACAAGGTGTGTTGCACTGAGTTGGCTACAATCATCCCATATCTAACAAGTGCAAGCACAATAATTGTTTCATTAAAAGCGCCCAGAAAATATCGAGAATTCTTCCTGACTTTATTTTTAAGAACAACCAATTTTCAGCTTGTTTTAAATTTTGAGCAGACACGTGCAGTTACCATATTTGGAGAGCATGTTATAATACCATAAAATTCCGAAAATAAGCCCCTCCATGTATAACCCCCTCCAAATATAAGACCCCAAACTCGTAACGCAAAAAACCCTCCGTTAAATCGCCCCTCCAAATATAAGCCCCCCGGGGGCTTGTACTTGGAAATTGCCCTCAAATACAAAGTAAAACAAAGCAAAAACGGTAAATTTCCTTCCAACTATAAGGCTAGCCCAATCAATTTTGAAACGCAAATTTCCCTCCGTAGATAAGCCCCTCCAAAAATAAGACCCCCAAAAAGGGCCTTTGAAAAATATAAGCCCCGGGGCTTATTTTCCGAATTTTACGGTAACCCATGAACCATGATGGCTAAGCCAATCAGAGCTCTAGAATTGCATTATCCAATGATTCAGTTTTTAATAAACCAGCAGATACAATTTTATTTATTTTGTGTCCTGAACAGGATTTCCTTCTGGACTTCAAGCCTTGAAAGTTGGTGGGGGGTGGGGGGGGAGGGGTGGTGCATTTGCAGTGCACAGTCTACATTAATTTGTGGTACAAACAATTTTATAGAATGTTAGGTTATGTGAAAAAATAAATAAATAAGGGTAATGAAAAATGGTCTCTTGTTTTAAACATGGTAGCAAAAAGAATGGTTTTAGTGTAAAACAGGATCAGGGTCTTAAGATGTCAGTGACACACCCCAAACTTCACTTTAAACCCCCCTCCATTGCAATTTCTTATGGAAATGTAAGAAAATTTTGGTTATGATTTACAGTATTTTATGTCAGAAAAAGAGTAAGGATTGTAACAAAACAAGGTCAACTCAGCGTTGTCAAAGACAGCATGCCAAGTGGAGAAATCATCAACTATAACATGCTTTTGGTCTGCTATTTTGCTGACTATTCTCAGGAGCCATTTGAATAAATCTGAAAGTCAAGTGTGAACACATAAAGTCTTGCATTCTGTCAAACTCTGTATTCTAATGCCAGATTTTAGCAGTTACCTCTGACGTTAGCTTTTATGTGACTGGCCCTGATTCTCAGGTATCGCACTCACCGTGATAGATGGCAAAATCACCCATTTTACTTACTAAAGCTGCCTACCTCAAAAATGTTGTTACAATCCAATGAACTTGAACCTTATTGGCACCCTTGGCCGGCAAGATGATCGCCAGCCGCATTAACCGAGCTATTAACAGTAAAAAAACGATCTAAACGCATATTCCATGGCAATGAATAAAATTAATGATAGAACATAACTATGCTCTTCAAAACGCCGATACACGTCCTCGTCTGCAAAGTAGGACACAAAACATATCTTTTGTTATCTCAATTCCGCTGTTATTTTGAAGCGAATGGTCAAAATGACATCCATTTTCGGCTCATACAGGTTCTTAAGAATAGCATTACATGACATTTTCTCACTTTCACATCACCTTCTAGCAAGCTGGAATTTGTATATTCCCCGTGTTGCGGATTCGAAGAGCAAATGTTCATCTTCTCGTCAGGTTTAAGACCTGGATGAGTCAAGGGCTCTTGAATTGAAATCTAATCCCCAAGTTGACCATCGTACTCATCTGAAAGACGCCTGCGAGTCTTAAATTTGGTAAGACCTCTAACCGTGCTGTAGAAAATTTGCCACAAAGAAAACTCTGAGTCTGGGCAGCGAACGATGAACTCTCTTCCCGTGTTTTTGTTTTTTTTCTCTCTTCCCGTGTTTTTAAATGCAGTGCATTGTGGTAAAAAATGTGGTTAAAAGCAATGCATCGTGGTAAAAAGTAATGAATTCAAGAATTCGTCCCACCTTATATATTTCCTTTAAATCCTGATTATGTTGCTGCTCGCTCCCTACGGTCGCTCCGCAGCAACAAGACAATCATGGAAATATTTCCATTTGGAATCAATTTTACTGCAGAGTTATAAAGGTTTTGATGTTATTTGTACAGTCTTAGAAAACAGTGGGAAACTAGCGGGAGTGAATTTATTATTTTTGGTAACTAAAAATAAAAATTGAAATGTCTCACTCCTCACAAATGAAAACTAAATTGGCCATAAACACTGACGTGTCTTTTCTTTTGTGCATGCAGCCAATAGTTCTGGACCATTTTTTTTGTTGCAAGAAAACCCTCTTTTCTCTTGTTCCTTAACATAGGTCTACACATGGGGCTGTAATGATGAGGGAGGGCTGGGCCGTGTCACATCAAGTGATAATGGTGAGGAGTTTACCGCTGGTATTGTTCAAGACATGGAAAGTGTCAAGGTTGTCATGGTGTCTGCAGGAGACAGCCACACAATGGCTTTGTCGGATAAAGGGACTGTCTTTGGCTGGGGCACTTACAGGGTAAGTACAAGGACAATGATATTTTCCCCTCAAAATTTACTGGTTAAAAAATACATTTTTCTGTGCTCTGGCAGCTTTCTGCCGCCAGTGGTAAAAAACGGTTAAGAAAAGGCACACCACCATGCCTTTTTTTTTTCTGCATTTCTGAATACAGTTCTTAGAATCTTGAGGTCAGTCTGAGTCTCAGCAAAATCAAAACCAGCTCCGAGATCCTCCTTCCCCAATTATACAGAGATTAATGAATTACATTAATCATAGGACAAAAATTAAATTACGATGTCAGTGTTTTTACGGTAATGTGGTGTTTGTTATTTTTTCTGTGGTGTTGCAGTCCCCCAATGTCCCTCTCGTTTTGGAAAACTAAATTTTAAATGTTACTTGTGAAATGGACAAGGGGAGCAAGGATGGCACAGTGGTGAGAGCACTCTCCTCCCACCAATGTGGCCCGGGTTCAACTCCCGGTGTCAAGGCCATATGTGGGTTGAGTTTGTTGTTGGCTCTCTCCCTTGCTCCGAGAGGTTTTTCTCCGGGTACTCCGGTTTTGCCCTCTCCTCCAACATTTCCAAATTCCAATTCCACCAGGAATCAGCTAGATGAAGAACCACTATGTGGATGTGCTACCTGCAAATCGTTATTTGTTTATTTATTTATTTATTTAAATGGACAAGTGTCATAGAAAAAAGTTTTTGTCTTGCTTAAATCCAGCTTGTTGGGTTTCCCATTCCAGGATGCAAGTGGACAGGTTGGCTTACAAGTAGATGGCATCAAACACAAACCCACTGTGATCTTGGCACTGCAAAACAACCCGGTAATAAAAATAGCATCTGGTAATGATCACACTGCAGCCCTGACAAAGAATGGCAACATTTTTACCTGGGGATGTGCCGAGCAAGGACAGTTGGGCAGAATAATGGGTTGTTTTACCAGTCGAGGCGGAAGGCGAGGTCTTCAGTACATTCTCAATCCAAAACAAGTCAGAGACAGGAAAAAACTTAAATTTAAAGATGTTTTCTGTGGGAGCTATTCAACTTTTGCAGTTGCTGAAGATGACTCTGTCTATGCTTGGGGCTTGAACAACTACGGCCAACTGGGAACAGGAGATGTTGAGACATTGTATGCTCCAGCAAAGGTGGAATCTCTGACATCTTTAGGGGACAAATGTGTCAGAATAGCTAGTGGTCAACACCACACAATAGTTCTGGATGCCGCAGGAAAGGTGTATGCAATGGGAAGGGCAGAGTATGGAAGGCTTGGGGTAGGAGAAGATGCCAAGGAAACATCTACACCAGTTCCAGTCATTGCGCTCGATAATAGCCCCATTTCTGAGATTGCTTGCGGTGAAGCTGTCAGTTTGGCAGTATCAAGCAAGGGTGACCTTTACTCTTGGGGTTTTGGAAGTTGTCTACAGCTAGGAACAGGAGAAGATGAGGATGAGTATTTACCCACTAAAGTACAAGGAAAGAATTTGCAGTCTGATCAGCATGAAGTATTAGGAATCTCTGCAGGAGGCCAACATACTGCTATGCTTGTAAGGGAAAGAACTCAGTGAAAATAACAGCAGTAACTGTGCTGTGTAGAATAATAAATTATTGTGGAACGGATGCAGTTCAACATTGTGCAGCATATTTTGTGCAGTAAGTTTTTTAATTTTCTTTATTTTTTTTAATGAAGCAAGTGTACATTAATTTTTGTACCTTAATTGCAAAAATCTGTTGCCTATTGTTAGTATTTTCTGCTAAAGGTGAACTCTCACCACACTAATAATGATTTGTTGCTTTCTTATCTTTTATACAAGTGGCAATAGTTAAACTAATGTTTGCAAGAAGTACCTCAAACAAACCACTGTGGGGTTTCACACTAAGAAGGCAAAATTCCTGAGAGTTTGAATTGGGCGATCAAATCCCAGGCATCAAATTATTCTTTATTCCAGTGTCCTCCCTGGGTATTTTAGGGTAGGTGGGCCACCTGGCTTAGTTCATGGGAAAATCAGTGACACCTGGCTTAAAAACCAAAGTTTTCAACCAGTGGAAGTTTATAATGACATCTAGAACCTGGTATTTCACAGAAGAAATCACTCGCGAATGTTGATAAAACATTGTCTGGTGTTTTTAAAACAACTGTATTTGTGTGTTTTCTTGCAAGAAATAATTTAATTTTGATTATGAAAGTGATTTAAAAAATACTGTTGGATAAACATGTTCAATCTGTTGTTTTGCTGAAAGGCAGTGATCTTGAATATGTCCCAGAAACACAAGGGCCCACCAAGGAGCTTACATGTAGTACTAAACAAAAATCCTGTGCTTTTAAAGGAGTGTCTAAATGGAGAATCTGGTCAACCCAAGATATACAGAGCAAAATAAAGCTTGTCAGAGAGTCTTTTACGCTGTCTCTATTGTTATTCAGGCTTCATACAAACACTGTTGAAAATCACAGTCAGGGTACCCCTTGGCTTCTCAAAATCCTGGGGAGAACACTGTATTCCTTGTTTTAAAGAAAAAAAAACTGTAACATTTCTTTGGTAAAGTTCAATTTGCAGGTCCCGGTTGTTCCAACATTGGATCGCAAATCCACCTGATAAATTACTCCCCAGCAAATAAGGACTACACAAACCAATTTATTATTACGTTATCCACTGGATAGTAATTTATCCCAGGGCCAGGTCTGTTTTATGCTTGAATCACTCTTAGGTGTGTGGCCACATTTAAACATTTTTCAACAAGCCACTGACAGAAACACAATGATCACAGTATTTCTCTTATTAGAGAGATTTAGAGTCACATCTACAGCACACAGCAAACATCAGATTCAAGTTAACAATTTCTAAAATAGAAAATAGGCAAATAAAAAGTGTCCAGAGTAATTTTTATGGATAAAACTGACGTGAAACCACTCATTTTTGTGTAGAAGTGATTAACAGTAAACAACAGTTACGGGGGAAACTTGGTCACATGGTACAAATTCATGTTTGCCATTTGGCGTAAATTTGACTCTAAATCTCTCTATTACTTTAAAATCAAAAACCTAACATGAGCTTCCAGAAATTGTATTATCAAACAGATTGTTTTGCATCTTGTTTCTTTCATTGAATTATTATGACTGTTTCTTTGTTCTTTTTTTATGCTGTGAGGATATACTGTAAATATGAATTTTTTCTGCTTTTTTTCCCATTACTTTGTAAAGTAAATGTTCCTATCTAATTTGATAATTAAATGGGAATAAGTTAATTCTCTTTTCATTACAATTTGCCCTGAATGGCACTAATGGAATCACATGAGTTATGGCAAATAAATTTATTTTACTAAAAGTAAGTGTAGTGAATATTGCTTTAATAATAATCATTGTTCCAGTTATTATTCACAGGCTCTCAGCTCTGCAACCTCACAATTAAACCCAGTTAACTTGAACTAATATTTCTTTGTCCCTTTTGCTCCATCTTCAGTAAATTTAGCTTGATATGCTGTTAATCATTTTTGCAGGACAATTTATGTGGGGACCTGAGAATAACATGACCATGCAAAATTCAAAACCCGCCATGTGTGTAATTCTTCGATCAACTTCAGGGCCAGGTCTCTAGATTATCTTGTCCTTGTTCTCTGTTTACGTTTACATGTAGCATGCACGCTCTCTTTGCCCAGTTCATCTTCTTCAGTTCCAGTAAGATGTTTAGCGTCACTGGTAACTTTTTAAAGGAAAATTAAAATCAGTTATCTGTTAATACAGACCAGTGTTTTGATTGTGATGTGAAATAAGGCCCTTCTCTCGTTGCAAATTTAAATTCCCAGCAAAAAAGTAATGATCAGGTGACTTAAACAGGATTTTAAGTCAGTGGCCCAGCTTTATTGTTGTAGCAATGGAAGACAGACTGAGGTAAAACAATCAAATGAATGTTATAAATCCAGAACAGAAAAATGCATCAAGGCAAAAGCACTACTTTTTTTATTTCATTTCAAAGTAGGACTGTAAAGAAAAGACCAAATCCTCTCCGCTTCCATATCTTCCCATGGGTGTAATGATAATGCACTGTGGGAATAAATCATGTTGGAGTTATTCCTCTTAAATCTTTGCTCCTTAAACTTAGTTTAATTTTTGTATGCATTGAACTATACAACAAAACGAACAGACTCATATTTTGAGTAAAAATATTGTTGTTGTAGCACTTAAAGTAAACTATTTTTTTAATACAGTTATTAAATTGGTACTGATAATGAAGTTTCTTTGACTTGAACTTTCTCTACCGATTGGAGAATCTTAGAATTATCCTGAATTATTCCCCCTCCTGATGGTTCTCTCTGTACCCATGGACACCATCACTACTGACATAAAACAAACATGTGGAATTTGGAAGATGCGGTGCAAAGATAACCCTCAGACGTCTTTTGATTACAGGGTCAATGTCCTGTAAATAAAAGATAACAGATCAGATTTAGGAGAAAGGACTGAAGACCAAGATTGATATGTTAAAGTATTACAGAAGTTTGTACCTTCTCAGCAGTTTCATTTCTTCACTTCTAGAATAGGCTTTATTCAAAAATGGTGACTGCTTTAAATTTATGTCAGGTACAAAACACCTTAAGCTGCATTAATAATTTGTTTGACAAGTTATGGAATTGGAATTTAGAGTTTTTTAGCGGGGGGGGAGACTACCCAGAAAAAATTCTCGTGTAGCAGGGAAGAGAAGGAAACCTAATCTCAAGCTCCCACAACTGCCATTAACCTGGGGATACAAACTCAGACCATTTATGACCATAGAACTGCTGATCCGCCCTTTCTTCCCTAAGTACAGTGGAACCTTGATTTAATGATCCCCTGGGTAACGAAGTCCTCGGTATAATTATTAATGATCAATAATGTTTGCCCAGTATACCTAGTAGTGAAATAAAATAGTTATATGGAAAAGGACCTCGATTCCCTTGGCCTTTTATTACATTAAGGTTCCATTGTGTCTCCCCCGAAATAGGGCTTTAACCTGCCGTTTACTTCCAAGGTCACTTTGCTAATTTGCTTTGTGTGACTATCTGAGAGACAGGAAGAGGCTACCTTATTACATGAAATTTTCGCGACATGTGCGCATATTTCGCGCAATTAAATTTTGCGATTTGGGGAAAATTTTATATTTTGAATCACTTTAAATTCGCGTTTTTGAGTACAACAACTTACATTTCATAGACAATGTTATTTAACATGTCTGAATTAAATAAAACGACTTTATAAAAGGAACAATAATGTCAATCTTCAGATAACGCGAACAGCGGGACTAAATGTCAACAGTAACAACCAAGCAGTTCATGCTTGTACGTGAATTATTGTTCTTGAGTTAATTGACCACAACATCCATTTACACTAAAAATTCATCACAAAAGTAAAAAATGTGATTTGTAAACGTTTCTGTGGTAATAAACTCGTTCTTCCTTGATTATGGACATAACGTGAGTCACTTAATTTTCGCGTCATGTTATGTTCGCCACACTCATTGTTCGTGTTACTTTAATTTCGCGAAATTAACGTGTCGCGCAAATTTCATGTAATAGGGTACCTAAAACATGTATATTTTTTATTACCCTTCTATCTAGGGCTTGATTAAGCGGTTGTATTAGTTGCTCTGTTCGTGATAACATAAGTCGCATTGTCACCATGCTGGACCAGGCCATGCCAAGGGCAGGTATCACACTTCTTTGCTTACCATCACTGATGCCACTGTAAAAAGGAAAAGGAATTAATGTCATCAAATTCAACACATTCTTTCAGAAAATGAAATCAGAAGTTTTACAGCTCATCATCATCGCCATCACCATCATCGTCATTATTGTTATTATCATTATAGTAATAATAATAATTATTATTATTATCATTATTATTATTATTATTATTATTATTATTATTATTATTATTATTATTATTAGAACATACCTGTTCTTGTCACTTTGGATCACATCAGAGACCTGAGAAACATTTAGGGAATATTGAGTATGGTAGTAGTTATTTTCCAGGTTATCAGAAGTACGGTTGACTGCATTGTAGATTATTTTCTTAATTAACCTGCGGTTGGATGTGTATAAGATTCTTGGAAACTGCCCTGTCTATACATTTCCATAAAGAATTAGTCGGGAGAATTTTAATGAAAAGATCAAAGCAGTTTTCCTTTGGTGGTCATTTATTGACTCTCATAACCATTTCTCTTGATCTTGTATTGATATTGTTAGGGGGAAATTAAGTTGATCACTGGGGAATTGAAGGGTTGAGGAGCAAAATGTTAGGTTAGGTTGGGGAGGGATAGGTTGGTAGTTGTGTAGCTGTACAGCATTATCCTCCTCCATGAGGGCAGGGCACGGTTAGGAGAAGGCTAAGGTAGTTATTAATTCATGTTTACATCAGAACTCCCAAATTTCGTTAACCCTCGATTTCAATATTATTGTAAACAAAATGATGTTTTACAACAATGAATTTCCAGTGAGAATCTGATGAAAATAATTCTCAAACACATACAGAGGAAACAGCAAAACTGACATCATCAACACATGCATACGTTGGGCTATTGTTCAGGGAAGTTGAAAAACTTTGCTTTGTTCTGTTTCTTCTTTGTCTTAAGTTTCACCAAGAAACTTAGATCTACTAATCCATTGATCTACAGATTCAACGATCTAGCGATCCACCGATTTACAGACTTACTTATCCATCGATCTACAGATCCACCGATCAATCGATCCACCTATCCAACAGATTTCCTGATCTACTGACCTACAGATCTACTGATCTAACCAATCCTACGTGGAGTAAAAATGACTTAGACTTGTTTGTAACTAAAAACGACAGTCTTATAATCAAGACTAAAGTCATCCCAGCTGTTAGTGATCATGATGCTGTGTCTTTTATGGTAATATCAAAGCAAAAATCAACAAACAAAAACGCAGGATGATTCCCTTGTATAGAAAAGTAGACTGGGGTGGCCTTAAAGAACACATGCCTAAATATGCAGACTCTGTCGTGCATTCTACTGACTGTGATCTATCAATAAATGAATTGTAGTCTAGTTTTTGAGAGGAATCGACCTCTGGTATCAAGCGATTCATACCACATCGGTTTACGAGCTCAAGAAATGGCCTACAATATGTGTCCCCTCTTTGAGACGCCTCATGAGGAAAAGAGATAAGCTACACGCAAGAAAGGATCCTCGCTACAATACCATTAAGCATCAAGTCCAAAAGAAGTTTCGTGCCGCATACGGGCAGTATGTGGAAGAGATTATTACCCCGACAAATGAAGAAGACTCGATGGGAGCAAACAAACAACTCTGGGGCTTGTTTAAGCGCTTCAAATCTGACAGCAAGGGGGTACCACCTCTCAAACATCAGGATAACTTAATAACCAATGCGGCCGGTAAGGCGACCGTTTTAAACAGATATTTCTAATGAGTGTTCACTAGCCATGTACCCTAAGGTGTGAAGCAACTTTGTCAAAATCAGAGCGATGGGCTTTTCGACACTACCCCTAACCGTACGCCATCTATGCCACCCATTTCAATTGCCACTGCTGGAATCACTAAGCTATTGGGAACCGATCCACTGATCAAGAGATCTACCGACCCATCTATCTACATAACCCTAACCGATATAGCGATCCGCCGGACTAGTGATCTGCCAATCTACAGAACCACCGATCTAGCCATCCATCGATCCAGCGATCCACCAATGTAACGATCTGTCCATCCGTTGATCTACAGCTCCACCGATCTAGTGATCCACCCAACTACCGATCTAGTGATCCAATGATCAACCCATTCACCGATCCATCGCTCTACAGAACTATTACTGATCCAGGGATCTACGGATTCACCGATCTAGTGATCCACCGATCCACCGATCCATCGATCTACCAATCTATCGATCTAGCGATCCACCAATCAACCGATCCACCCATCCATCTTTCTAGAGATCCACCGATCTAGCGATCTACTGATCCAGAGATGTACAGATCCATCGATCCAGCGGTCTGCAGATCTACAAATGATCCATCGATCTACAGATCCACAGATCTAGCGATCTACCGATCCATCGATCTACAGATCCACCAACTAGCGATCAATCAATCAATCAATAAACTTTATTTACCCTCGAATTTACAGTGTAGCACTCAAGTGCTAATATCTTCGAGCCGAGCGATCTATCGATAAACCGATCTAGGGATTTACCGATCTACCGATCCCTCTATCTACAGATCCACCAACCCATCGATCAAGCGATCTATCGATCCACCGACCTAGCGATCAACCGACCTAGCGATCCACCTATCAACCGATCTACCGATTCATCGATCTACCAATCCACCGATCTAACGATCTACACATCCACCGACCAAGCGATCCAAAGATCCATCGATCTACAGATCCACCGATATAGCGATACACCGATCCAGCGATCTACAGATCCACAAAACTAGCAATAAACCGATCCATCGATCTAGTGATCTACCAATCCATGAATCTAGCAATCCATCGATTTAGCGATCAACCGATCTAACGATCCACCGATCTAGCGATCTAGCGATCAACCGATCTAACAATTCCTCAAAAGAGATCCAGCAAGCTACCAATCCATCCATCTAGCGATCTGGCGATCTAGCGATCTACCGATCCATCGATCTAGCGTTCTGCCGATCCATCGACCTACAGATCCACGGATCTAGCAATCTACCAATCCCCCCATCCAGCGATGTACCGATGTACCGATCCATCAATCTAGCAACTTTGTCAAAATCAGAGCGATGGGGTTTTCGACCATACCCCTAACCGTACGCCATCTTTGCCACCCATTTCAATTGCCACTGCTGGAATCACTAAGCTACTGGGAACCGATCCACTGATCAAGAGATCTACAGACCCATCTATCTACATAACCCTAACCGATATAGCGATCCGCCGGACTAGTGATCTGCCGATCTACAGAATCACCGATCTAGCCATCCATCGATCCAGCGATCCACCAATCTAACGATCTGTCCATCCATTGATCTACAGCTCCCATGATCTAGTGATCCACCGAATTACACATCTACTTATCCATTAATTTACAAATCCACCGATCTAGCGATCTATCGATCCACTGATCTACAAATCTACTGATCCACAGATCCACCGAAACATGGATCTAAAGATCTACTCATCTAAAGATCCACTGATCGATCGATCTACTAATCTACTGATCTAAAGATCCATCCATCTACAGATCCACCGAACTACCGATCTGGTGATCCAATGATCAACCCATTCACCGATCCATCGCTCTACAGATCTATTAATGATCCAGGGGTCTACAGATTCACCGATCTAACGATCCAACGATCAAATGATCTAGTGATCCAACGATCCACCGATCCATCGATCTAGCAATCTACCGAACCATCGATCTAGCAATCTACCGAACCATCGATCTACCAATCCATCGATCTACCGATCCACCAATCTACCGATCCACCTATCCATCGCTCTAGAGATCCACCGATCTAGCGATCTACTGATCCAGAGATGTACAGATCCATCGATCCAGCGGTCTGCAGATCTACAAATAATCCATCGATCTACAGATCCACAGATCTAGCGATCTACCGATCCATCGATAGAGATACAAGGGGAATGCGAAGATCTGCACATCATTGACAAGGATGATCTGGAGGAATGATGAGATAATCGATATTTTATAAACATCCATACCAATACATCTGTGTTAAGTGTTTAGAGGGACTACGGTACACTTGCTGTTTTAACAAACGAAAGACTCTTAATATTAACTTTACGTTAAAATGTTGCAATTCGCAACAGTAGGAACCGTAGGGACAGAAGGAACAGAGGAACAGTAGGAACGGTACTCAAAGAAGGAACAGAGGAACGATAGGAACGTAGGGACAGATGGAACATGTGAACAGTAGGAACTAGGAGCGTAGGGACGGAAGGAAAAGAGGAACAGAAGAACAGTAGAATCTGGTAATTTTAAGTCACTTTACATAAAAATAAGAGACAAACAAATTTGCTATAGGTTTTATCTAGATTCATAGTTTTTTGCGGCGATAAGATAAGAATTTTTGACGGTTGTTAACGTTTTGAACATTTGCCGGGCAAGTAGAAAAAACTCTTAGAATTAATGGCACAAACTACGAAACGGAAGCACCGTGACCCAATCTCTTTATTGCAGTTTTTTAATGTCCGGGATCGGGATATGACTACCGTATTTATTCGAATAAGCGCCCAACCTCGAACAAGCGCCATCCTGAAGGCAGAAAAATTTAATAAGCGCCCAGCCTCAAATAGGCACCCACGATCATTTTGATCTGCGGTCAAAATATTCAAAATCTCCCGCCATCTCTGCGCGCGCATTGTCCGCCATTTGCACGAGGTCTTCGAAGGCAATCTTCGAACAGAAACTGATCGATATAGACGCTTTGAATTTAACAGTATGCCTGCACGGAAACGCCAGCCGAGTAAACGAAAAGCAGAGGAGCCAGTGGAAGCAACTATCGATAAAAAGAAAGAAAACCGAGGTGAGAGAATTCTCAGCCTTGAACACTGCAGTTTAGTCGTTAATAGTTTGCCATCATTTCGATTCAAAGGGTGCATGCTCTCAGCTTTGCAGATTTATGCTCCATGAAACATACATTGTAG